ACATCTTGTAAGTTTAGGGCAGGCTTATAAAAACTTAATATGTCCCATCCTCCCAAAGTGGCAGAGCCACGGGTATTAGCTCGTATACATTTTATTTTTCGCCGTTTCATGCTTCCATACGGAGGAGTTCCCCCTCCGGGTTCTGTTATTTGCAGATGTTTTCTGCCAGCCGTCGTAGGGAGGATGAGGGAAATAAGATTTTAAAACCGTCACGTGTTCACGTAATATGTGGCTGCGGGATGTGGCTGAAAGAATCTGCTGGTGGGATGAAGTCCCTCTCCTCCCGGAGATCGGATGGGCAGGAGCCTGGCTGAAATGATTAGAATAGCTCAGTTTGGCACTATCTGATGTTGCTTCAATCTGGTCGCAATATCGAACAGGCCCTCACACAAATGGCCGTAGGAACAGCTCCCGACATCCTATGCCCCACGAATTATGGGTACCCCGAGTGTATCGATCGTCCAGGATAGTATAGCGAAGTTACATCAGTCCCATCGACCAATCAGATGAAGCAATAGCCAAGGTCTAAACCGTAAGATAATTTTGATAAATAATGGTATAGTAAGTAGCTTAGCTCCACAGACGCGATCTCCTGACGTGCCATGTTCAAACGACAGGCCTATGGACAATCATCAGCCTTTATCAAAAGCGACAGCGAGAAGACGCACGAGATTTCTCTCTCGGGTGTGACGTGAATAGACGAATGTGTCGGCACGCCAAGGATTCTAGGATATGCATTGAGGTTCTTGTGCAGTGTGAGCTGGAACACCGCTGCTCCACCGTTACTGAGACAAGTGTTAGCGACGACGCAAATGAGAGTAAAGCTTGACCAACCGGCTGATGATCGTCGAGTACGCCAAGAAGAATACCCAAATTCTGTACCACCTGTGGGCAACCATAAGCACGAGGGCTATACGCACCGACCAGGAACTACTAACCGCTCGCCATAAGCTTCGATCACATTGTCCTTATTGGACACCCAGTTCTTGTACCACCTGTAAATGGTTGCGCTGTAGTGAACACCGAGAACATCGATATTCTTGACCTCAAAGCCGGCCGCTTCTACTTGTGTGACCACCCAACCCAGAGAGCAAGACGCGTCAGCACCGGGGAAGATGTACTTGTTCATGAAAAGCCCCCTTGAGACAAGCCATTGAGATGGCATTCTCAACTTATCGCCTAGAACATGACGTACCAGATCAGATCCTCGTATTGCCAGTGCGGCCTAATACCAGCGACTTGCAAGAGGAAAATGCCATCGTCTTCGAGAAGATCATACACCTGTCGCAAATAAGCACCGTAGCGGCGAATACCAACATGCTACGCAGTATTAGCTGAGATACTGTAGTGTGATCGAGAGACCATACCTCAGCCATCTCCAAGCTGACAATCTTTGTATAGGCACCCTTGCCACCCGGTGCCTTCCTGAAGTCTACGCACAGGATTTTTGAACGAGACGGGTCTCCTCCCTAGATATTGTATGATCTATAAGACTGAGAATCCACCGCAACAATCAGGACGGTAACAAACATTCGTGCGAATACGTTCATTTCCAAACTCCGCTTGGTTTCTGGAGAGGGTAACACCAGTAGCAGAGCAGCCATAGTTTTTGGTGGCAAAAGCACACAGAGTGCCCCAGCCACAACCAATGTCCAGAAGCCGATCTTCGGGGGTTAGCCCTAGCTAAGAATATCACGACGATCCGTGAATAACAAGGCATAACCTGTTCATTGGAGCTCCACTAACCTTCTCACAGACAAGGGTCAACTTGTTATCTTGCAGCTGCTCAAGCGACTCTTCCGTCTCAAGCGACCGAACAACTCCAGATGTGTATATCATACGCGGTCCAAGGAACCTGTGTGCTCATGAGCACATTTGTACGTGCAGGTATCATGCAGGATGAGCGTACCATCCATAGAAATCATCACCACCTTGACCGGAACGTCAGAAAGACTTTGTAAAATGACAATGGTTGAGACACGTACGGTCATAATGATCACGAACTTGCTCTTCGTCCTGAGCTTCGGTGTGCCGAATAACATCGGGAACGAGCGTAAAAAAGACATATTTAAAGAGCTCCCAGGTAAAAGTCATTTTTGCCCAGTCATGGCGTTGCTCCATGATCTCGAGAACGTCGCCTGCCCAGGAGACGCGATAAGACACGCGAATAACGCGTCATATTGACCAACATACCGTTAAAGTCAATCAAGCCGTCAAAGTACGCGTCGTGGAAGACCTGCATCGGGATCTTCTGCTTGTCGTGATACTTTTTCTTCAACTCTTCGTCGTGAATCGTAATATATTCCTGAATGTTTCGGTCCGGAAGCTGGATCTTGTGGTTCTTCCGGGGGCCGTACATGCTCATCAACGTCCAGTATGCCATAGTAATTGGGAGACCAAGCACGAGCACTAAAAACCAGTAGGTCTTGAACCCACCGCGGTTGAAGAGCGGAAGGATGCGCTTTGCAAACCATGGAACGACCAGAACCAACGCCGCCAAATGGATATTGTTGAAGTGGCCAGAGCCTTCGGCCAGACCTATGAGAGGCGCATTCTTTATGGCGGGGGTCTTTGTGACCTTGACAGAATATGAGGACATGTGAGTGCTGGACGCGACCGGCTCAGACATGAGGGCGCTGCCAAAACTGACCGCGTGTCTTTCCTCTTATACTCATGCGCTGGCACTGTAAGCGCGCACATCACGTGCAGACACGTACCGAATCCGCGCGCGGTCGCTGCGGCGGCTGCGCCTTCCAGCCTGCTCGCTGCCCGACACGTCCTCCCGTCCCCATGTCCTACTATACCAACAGCCGTAGTCCCCCTCCACTCCAGCATCCTGTCCCCACCCATCCCGCCTACATTCCCGAACCACCCTCCACCCCCGTTTCGCCTCATGGATACCAACGTTACACCAGCTCTCCACCTACTCAGCAACAGTTCGGCCAATCCATCCCAGGTCAAAGCGGCCGAGTCCCCCAGGGATATACAACTTCTTCTGGTCACTATCAACCATTGGGCTCCCCGCCCCGACATGCACCTGTTCCCGCCCAAACACAGCCGGGCGTCAATATCCCGAACGTGCCCGTAGACTTCTCCGCATGGGGTCTTGACGGTGCAACAGCGCAGTTTGGTATGCAGCTTGGCCAGAGCGCGGTTGCTGCAGGCCAGGACTACGTGCAAAAGAACGTTCGTACCTCCTCATCTGTCCCCGCGCCCCCGCCGCTGACCTCCGTTCGCTTGTGCAGCTCGGCGGCCTCATCCCAATTTCCATCCTGAAACACCACTTCAACGTGTCGAATTCGTATGTCATGCACAAGCTCCGCCTAGTTCTCTTTCCATGGAGGCATAAACCTTGGTCGCGTCGCGTGCATCGTACAGAGAATGGCCAGGCGGAATGGCAGCCGCCACGAGATGATGTGAATGCCCCTGATCTGTACATACCTTGTAAGTTTCGCACTCTGTCCTGCGGTCTATAGTGTGATCAAGTGGCATGCTCATCTCTTTGCTCTGGCCGTCAGTGATGGCTCTTGTGACTTACATTCTCCTTGCGGCGCTGCACTCGGGGCTGCACTCTCGGTTCCATCCGGAAATTCTCGGTATCACCGCGTCAAAAGCTCTTGCGGTTACTCTTCTCGACTTCATATTTGTCAAGCTCGGCTCATATTTCCTCAACATCCCCGTAAGGTGTCTCATCGCCATCTCCAATTGTCTTGCTAACCGGGGCATTCTTAGGGTGGCATAAATCAGGTACTTGATCTTTTGGCGTACAACGGCTATAAATTTGTTGGGTACGTACGCGGCTCGCCTGGATTGCCTAAGCTGACCTCCCTCGTTCCTTCCAGTGTGATCGTTACATTGATTGCCGGTCTCCTCAACACTGGGACAACACTTTATTTTGTAGTATTTATATACTCCTTCTTGGCTACCGCGTTCTTTTTGGTGAGTCTTCTGCCCCGCAGATGTCTTACCGTGTTACTCATAGCCTTTTCCTCGTGATAATGCCGCGCTTGGCAACATTTAGTTGCGTTCACTCCGCTCTTTAGTGCTACCAGATGCATCGGCGTCGGCAGCGCCCGTAAATAATCCTTCACAACGTTCAAAACGGATAACATTTCTCTTTCTAATAGCTGTCACTCAAGTACTTTATATGGGCGTATTGGTACGAGTATAGCTAACCGACGATGTTCACTACGTCTTCATTCGAGCGCCCAGCTGTGCTACATGTTATGCGAAGTGTAGGCCGGACGGATGTGCTATGTAGCTGGCACTGTATAGCGCGTACAAGACTTACATGTTTTAGAACTACCGCAAGGTATCGCTATTGGACACAGGTCGATACAAGTGTGAGAGTGGAATCCGACAGATATTCGAAGCAGATATTTACTGGCGATTGGATCTCGATCGAGACTTGGTTCAAATAGCTCAGACCAGTGAGTAGGTACGGACCAGTTCGATTTTGGAGGACGCTAGGCTCGCCAAGAACCGAACCGCGTTATGCGAAGAGCGCCTCGGCATGTCCCGTAACTGTATAGTGGATATCAGCCACACGACCAGAGATTGTGCGTGCGTCAGTCTAGCAGCGGCCTTGAAGACAACGAGCAAGACATTTGGCCCGCCATGGTACGTTGCATTGTCATCTTTCCGCTCCTCACATTCAAAGCATCCGTACATTAGCCTAAAGAAGTTCGCGACATCAAGAAATTCATCGAGATTGCCAACAGGAAGGATGCTAGTGGTGCGCAAAGTTACTGTCGTGATGGAAAAGTACAAATGCTTACTTGACCTTTTATGATACTGAAAATTTGCCGATGGCCCCTAACGCACTGCTTTTCGAAATACAGAGGCGAGGGTAAAGAAGCTTTCGCCCAAAGCGCCAAACGGCAAGACGAGGACAAAGTTCAAAATCCGGTGTTCGCGTTACCTTTACACGCTTTCGCTTGATGACCCAGAAAAGGCGGAGAAGCTCCAGCAGAGCCTACCCCCAGGTATGCCTTCTCTAAGCCACAAATACGACGACCTGATCCGAGCACACCTCCCTCAGGTCTTGTCGTCCGAGACGTCAAGAAGACACCAAAAAACAAGAAGTAAAGCTCTCGGCTAGCTTTGGCTGGAGTGGTGGCGGGCCTTTTGTCGGTGTACTGTCTTCTACTTTGCGTCACATCCCTGACCCCGAGCGCCGCGCGCAGGTTATCGGGCATCTGTATGGAAATGTATGCTCTAGGCTACCTACAATATGGATGCATACGCCGGTCAGCACTGCGCTGGCCTTCTGTGTATTATTATGGATTTCCTTCCGTCATTCTCTGAAGGCTACGAGTCAAGTTGAACCACATGGGTGCGTACCTTGTCAAGAGCTGGACACAACCGGTGTTATTTCTTGCGGGCGAATTGTGTACACAATATGCGATTCATGACTTCGATGCTCGAATGCACGCTTTACGTTCTTTCACTGGTCTGTGATCTGGCTCATATTTTGTAGCTGATGTCGCGATGTTGCCAAATAACAACTGAGTGTTGATTTTCAACGCTGAAATACTGGCTCCCGTTGAAGTAGTATCGACGGGACTGCCCATTCATGTCTGCCCCGAGCTACTCAATACCTGAACGTCCAACGGACACCAGACCGGATGGCTTCCTTGCAGGAACTGATGTTGGTCGACTGTGCCGCCGCCACATGCTTGCGACATGGTGTTAATTGCAACCTCGGTGAACGAATCGTCGCGATCATCTTTCCCTCAGTAACCTCAAATTGCATTGCTGACTCTGGTAGAGTGGGGCTCACCTTCATCAAGCCCCTTCAGTCAGAGGTACTCTGCGTGACTTACCTCGCTCGGCGAAATGATAACAGATGCGAAGTTGTTGTCAAATTCACGGAATCCTATGGAGAAGACCTCCATCGGTGTCTGTCAGGTGGGCGTCATGGATTTTGTTCAAGGTCAAACAGCTGCACAGATTGTCTCGGAAGACGGCACTCTCCAACCCATAGCCAAAGCTGAGATCTTTCCAGTCCAGTAGCTTCCAGCCGCATCCCTTGCCCTTGCCACCAGTCTTCGTGACCTTGATCGCTCACTCGTCATTTGCTCACGGAATCACCTTGGCCGTTGGTCCAATGTCGCAGACAAGTGAGGAAGATACACTGGAAACACGAGCCATGTCCACGTTCTTCATAAGCCTCATTGCTGTGCTCCAATCCGAGACTGAGGGTGGATAGGTGGAAAGACGGTAGGGATTAGCTGAAGGTGACAAAACGCCAAAGACAGTGGTTGACGGATACATGCGCGCGAATAGTTCACCCTCCTGAAGCTCGCCGAATAGCTGAATGATAGCTTGCCTCCAGATCCGCACAAGCGGTGGGGAGAACGATGATCGTACTGAGAGGCGCGAGGATGCATATGCTATTTTACTTATACACCACACGTAGGAATGTCTACGGAAAATGTCAACCAAGCTTACCACTGCCCGTCACTCTGAAGCCACCGTTTGAGCCGCCCCGGCAGTATGCCTTCTCGGGTTCAATACACGATCTTTGGAAATAACCAAAAATTTGCGCAACTGCGAGCGTCAAAACGTGTACTTGTCAACATTCAGGAGGGAGCTGATAGCTGATCCTGTGTGAGTGGAGCAAACCCCAAATCTCCCAATTCCAAGTACAGATATTCCTCAAAGCCTTGAACGATCGCGGAGGCTGCTTCCAGAGTGCTGCTCTCCCACTGCTCCGAAAACTCTCCATCCTCGCTTGAGATTCTGCCATGGGTTCTTGCACGTCGAGTGTTATGCACGGCAAGCTCATCTTTGGCATTTTGCACATGCTGTAATGATCTCTTCAGCCATAAAAAGGCGTGGTTGCCGATCGTCCCCCACATAGATTTTTTGGCGCCTGACACAGAGTATTCCGTAAAGGTGGCTAAGAAGTCATTCTTCTTTTCTCTGCACTGCTTGAAATGCCCCGTGTCCCAGGCCTTGACATCGGGAACCT